GCTACACAGCCTTGTTTTCTGAGTCCTGCGTGGAATTGAAGAGCAGGTCAAGTAGTGAGTGCGCTTGGAGGAGAAAAAGTTGGCAAATTGCCTGGAATGTAAATACGTGAAGGGAAAAAGGTGTGTTAGTGAGAAAAGAAAAATCTGAGAAAAGGTCGCTGTTTGAGATAGTTCAAGGAAAAAAAAAAACGTGTAAATCTTCCCCAAAGGTACAATATTCATTTAGATGCTAACAGTTTTGGCTTCAGAGTTTTTAAAAGTTGAATAAAAAAACAAATGATTTTACTGGAGAGGTGTGAACACGTCTGCTTCTAACTGGTAAAAATGGTTGAATCCATATTCATTTATCTTCTCAGATTATAGCTCATCCTTCCAGGAGGTTTTGACTTTTACTGATCATGTTTTTATTCCATTAATATCATTATTGTGTGAATTTTTATGAAGCATTCACTCTACTGTGATTCATTTTTCTTCTGTACATTTTTCAGCATCTTTCTCGTTCCACAATTTTTGTGCTATTTCAATAAATCATACATCAAAACGTTCAGTTCTTTCAGGACAATCCTGCTATGACTTTTTGGTATTAGTGCAACTTTAGGTTTTTGAAACAGTTAACCTTTTCTGTCATGTTTTCCATCCATCCATCCATTATCTTTTACCCGCTTCTTCCATTTTGGGTCACGGGGGTCGCCGGTGCCCATGTCCAGCAATCACTGTGCGAGGGGCGGGGTACACCCTGGACGGGTCGAAAGTCCATCACAGGGCCACATGTTTTGTCTCATAGAAAATGAATTGAGCTGATTTTACATCCTTCAAATCTTTAGCTCTGTTTACAATCTTTTACTGCTCCTTTCACATTTTGTTCTGCTTCAGCTTCTATCAGCTTCCTTTTGAACTTGTGTCCAGCTACTTTCAGCTAATTTCAGCTGTTTTGTGCTCCTTTCAGGTTATTGCAGCTAACTACATTTTTGTGCTTTTTTTAACTTATTTCTGCAAATTTCAGCTTATTAATGCAAGTTTCAGCTTTTTCTGCTATTTCAGTTACTATTTAACTGTTTTATGTTAATTTTAACTTTTTCAGCTAATTCCAGAATTTTTGCGCTCATTTACTCATTTTTAGGCCTACAAAAATGTGCTTTCTCCACTTCCTTCTGGTAATTTAAGCTTCTTTCTGCTTTCATAGCCTCTATTCATCTGGGTATTTTGTGCAAATTTCAGCTGTTTTCAGATAATTTCCGTTTTTTTGTGCTCATTTCTGATTATTTCAGCCTAAATGGGCAAACGTGTGTTCTTTCTGTTTTCTTCTGCTATTTTAAGTTTGTTCTGATTTTTCAGCTATTTGTTTTTAACATTTTTAGCTAATTTCAGCTGTTTTCAGATAATTTCAAGTTTTTCATATAACTTTTGTTACTTTCAGCCTAATTAACTTCTTTATGCTAATTTCAGTTTGTTATGCTCCTTTCAGCTTTTTCTGCTCTTTCAGCTACCATTAAGCGTTTTTAATGCTAATTTTAGCTTTTGCAGCTAATTCCACATATTTAGCTCATTCCAGCTCTTTCCACTTCCTTAAGCTTATTTTTGCCTTCTCAGCTACTTTTCAACTATTTATTTTTTCTAATTTAAGCTTTTTAAAGCTAATTTCTTAGTTTTAGTTTTCATTTCTGCTTATTTAAACCTTATTCAGTAAATATGTGTGCTTTCTGCTTTCTTCTGCTAACTTAGGCTTGTTCTTCCATTTCAGCGTGATTTTTTTAGCAGTTCTCAGCAAGTTCTTCTACAATAAGCTTCATTTTTGCAGGAAATGCAATTTCTCTGATTTTTGTTTAGTTTTCACTTGTGGGATGGAGTAAAGTGATTTGAACAGGCCGAAGCTGTCACAAGGTGTTGCTGTTCCACTGTGTGTGAGCTCAGGGTGTGTGTGTGTGGTGGGGGGGGGGGGGGGGGGACGCGAAGAGGTGCTGCTCGGGGTCTCAACACCTTCCTTCAATCCCTTGCATGCATGCATCTTATCTTATCTCTTAATTGAACACTTCCGGTCACAGAGCTGAGAATGTGGTGCAACACCGGCAGCTCTCCTGGAGATGGATGAATCTTGTAAAGTCTGACCGGAGAGCGTTTGTTATGGCTCAGTCTGAGAAATGGCAGTTTTCTGTTTTGTTGTTGTTGTTTTGTTTGTTTGTTTTTGTTTTTTTAAACGGAGCGCTGCGATGTTCTCACTCTCTGGGACATTCCCCCCCCCCACACACACACACAC